TGTGCGCGCGTGCGTGCGTGCTATTAGTCCTTTATCATTTGGGGAGCTTGTTGTTTGGTATCCCTCCACTTCTTCAGGTTGAGGAGACGGTATGCTCATAGGGAGGCTGACTTGGCTGTTGACTCTCTCAAAATAATACATTTTAAGATTGAGCTGTGCACTTTCCAGCACACGGAACCACATCGTTAAATATTGATTCTGATCACCTGCTCTGTGTTAAAGCTGTGCACAAATCATTTGCATTCTGTAGCTTCTTTCTAACCATCAGCAGCCTGATCTTATAATTCACAGTAATGCGCTCCTCTTGGCAACAGGCTCTTCCACATGAGGTTCTGTTTACAGTCAAATTCTTCATGTTCTTCTCTCTATTGGACTTGAGAACTGAAGTGCTTAATCACATAAAATAGTCAGCATTTTGCCTAAATGCTCTTTTTTAAATAGACTTGAGTTTGAAATCCATATTCCTTTTTCCTCAAGATTCTGCTCTGTACCACACCAACCATTCCTTTTTCCTCAAGATTCTGCTCTGTAGTTTGCAAAACTGAGAATACCACACCAACCAAAAGGAGTTTCACCATCCCAAGACTTTGTATTTGTAGTTTACTGGTTTCCTTAAGGTATAGCACAAACATGTTCATACTGGCCAGTCCTCACCCATCTCTTGAAAGAGTGTTTACCTTCTAAGCCTATTCTTTCCCAGTCATGAAGCAGAGAAATAAATCATAGAAACTACAGCAATCTGGGAAGCAATCCCAGATTCCCAATTCTCAAATTGAATATATACAAACAACTTGCATACAATTTCCAATTATCCAATGTGGATCTGTCAGATCCAGTTCTTGTACAACTGTTTGGGGATGGTGATGGTGGAGGAGAGATAGTAAATGCAGAGGAAGAACAAGACAAATACAGTGGTGCCTCGCTTGACAATGTTAATTTGTTCCAGCGAAATCACTGTAGAGTGAAATTGTTGTCAAGCAAAATAAAAAACCCATTGAAACGCATTGAAAACCGTTAAATGCGTTCCAATTGGCGAAATACCTGCTCGTTCAGCAAAGATCCTCCATAGGGGCAGCCATTTTCTGGTGCCTGTAATGCGAGGAATCCGTCCCTAACACAGCGGGGAGCCATTTTCTACAGCCGGTGGCCATTTTGAAACCCAACGATCAGCTGTTTGCTGATCACCGTAAAGCGAAAAATCGGTTCCTGAAGCAGGGAACCGAACAACGTTAAGCAAGATTACCCCATCTAAACATCGTTTTGCGATCGCAAAAACTTCAATGTTAAGCGGATTCATCATCAAGCGGGGTAATCGTCCAGTGGGGCACCACTGTATGTTCTTTGTGTAGACCTTTGGTCTAGATGGGTAGGATAGAAATCTAACAAACAAACAAACAAACAAACAGTCTGCCAAAGCAGGCTTTTAATTGTGGAGATGAGTGACCAAGCCTAAGACAAAAGCTTTACATTCAGGAACTTCCAACATTAATCTTACACACTTCCCCCCTAAACAGTTCAAGACAGAATGCAGGTATCTTTGCTCTTGCATCTGTCACAACAAAGTGAAGGTTTTCTCCAGATTCATCACACTGTGCCTCATATGGATATCATATTCTGAGATGGAATAATGGAAGTATCCCTATATTTACATAAGAATATACAGCAGTTATATGGTAACTGATTACCTACA